CCAACATTCGCATCTTGGGGGTGCCAGAAGGAGAAGAGAGAGAACAAGAAATTGAAAACCTGTTTGAAACAATAATGGCAGAAAACTTTCCTAACTTGGTGAAGGAAACAGACATACAAGTCCAGGAAGCACAGAGAGTTCCAAACAAGATGAACCCCAAGAGACCCACACCAAGACACATCATCATCAAAATGCAAAAGGTTCAAGACAAAGAGAGAATCTTAAAAGCAGCAAGAGAAAGGCAGATAGTTACCTACAAGGGAGTTCCCATTAGGCTGTCAGCTGATTTCTCAAAAGAAACTTTGCAGGCCAGAAAGGAGTGGCAAGAAATATTCAGAGTGATGAAAACCAAGAACCTACAACCAAGATTACTCTATCCTGCAAAGCTGTCATTTAGAATCGATGGACATATAAAAACTTTCCCAGACAAGAAAAAGTTAAAGGAGTTCATCACTACCAAACCGTTATTATATGAAATGATGACGGGTCTTTTTGAAGAAAAAGATAAAATGTATGAACAAACAAAATGGCAATGAATACATATCTATCAACAATGGAATCTACAAACAAAATGAACAGGAAGAACAGAAACATTCTCATAGATACAGAGAACATTTTGTTGGTTGCCAGTTATGAAGGGGGTTGGGGGAATGGGTGAAAAAGGTGAAGGGATTAAGAAGCACAAATTCATTGCTAGACTGACAAACCTCAAAGGGAAAGGGGTTGAGGGGTGGGAAGAGATAAACCAAAGAACTTATATGCATAACCAATGGACACGGACAATAGTTTGGGAAAAGTTGGGAGGGGGGCGGGAGAGGGGAGGAGGGGGTCAATGGGGGAAAAATGTGGAACATCTGTAATACATTTCACATCCAACAATAAAGATGTGAAAAAGAAAAAAAAAGATTACAAACAACTTTAAGCCAGTTAGAAACAAAACTGAGGCCCTGGACGGTTTGGCTCAGCGGTTAGAGCGTTGGCCTGCAGTCCAGAGAAACCCGGGTTCGGTTCCCACTAAGGGCATATACCTTGGTTGCAGTTTGTCCCCAGCCCTGGTTGGGTTGCGCATGTGGCAGCCACCCTTTCATGTTGATGTTTCTCTCTCTCTCTCCCTCCCTCCCACTCTATCTGAACAAAAAATGGAAAAATATCCTCGGGTGAGGATAAAAAACAAAAAACAAAACTGAGTAGAGCCATAGGTAGTCTTCATATTAGCAAAAAATATCAAATAATTTTAGAATTTGAGCACCTAAATAGTTCTTCTAATCCAAAGTCCTAAGTTTATAGTAGAGAATGGGAAGCCCAGAGAAGCTGAGCTAACTGCTCAAAGTTACATCAAGGTAGGGCCAAAACTAGAATTAAATTTGTACAATTTTAACTTAAAAAGTATTTAGGATCAATTACCATTCCATTATCATACTGACCACATTTCAATGCAACTGAACATTTACCAGACATTATAGAAGTATATGGCAATTCTCACCCTCAATGTCAATTTGTGAGGCTTATTAAATATGTAAGGCATAAGTATTATTATTTTTTAATATGTTTTTATTGACTACTTAGAGAGAGGGAGGGCAAGAGGGATTGGCTATTTCCTGCATGCCTCCCACTGGGGATTGAGCCCACAACCCAGGCATGTGCCCTGACCGGAAATTGAACTGGTACCTCTCAGTCCATGGGACAACGTTCAATCCACTCAGCCACACTGGCCGGGCATAAGTATTATTATTTTTTAATGAAGACTACAGTGTTAATGGAATAAGAATCAAGGAAGGTTTTGAGCATTCTCAATTTACAGAGTTTTTTGGCTTGGTTATTTTGTAATATGCATGTAAAGAAAATCAACCTATCTTGTCTAATCAGTTTTTCCACAAAAATGTTTAAAGAATGGAAGAGACTGAAACCGGTAGCCCGTGAGCTGTTTCACCCACAGATATGTTTTGTCTGGCCTGCATAGCGTTTCTAAAAACCTGAATTTGTGGCTAATATTTAAACTGGGTGGCCCTTTGCCCTGCCAGTGTTGCCAGTGTTGCCAGTGTTGAAAGGTTTAATTCCCTGTTAGGGCACATACCCAGGATGCGGGTTTGATCCCAGGAGCAGGTGTGTGCGAGAGGCAAGGGATCAGTACTTCTTTCCCAGATTGATAATTTTCTCTTTCTCTTTTCCTCTCTTTCTAAGGGTGGACCTTATACTGAAATCTGGGTTTCAGAATTTTTGAAACATTGGAAGATCTGACACACACATCCTTCATAGCAAAAATTGAGCACTAATTAGGCTTGGCAACTTAGATAAGTAAGACATAATTACTGCTTTCGAAGACCTCAGAATTTGTCATTACAGACAAGCACATAAACAAATCATCACAGTACATTAAGTTCTTACTATGTGCCAGGCACTGTGGGACAGATACTACAATAAAAATGAAATAGGGTAAGATGAAGGCACAAGAAAAAAAGGTGACCAATTATGTTAAAAAGAATACTGCTTTGGGAAGGCTTTAAGAAGGGGGCAGCACTTGGACGTTTTTAAGAGTTAGAGTTTTTAAGAATAAGAGTAAGGTGAACAGGGCAGAGGAGGACATTTCTAGCAAAGCAGCCGCATGTTCAAGGTTACAAAGTTCACATACAGTAAACAAGGATGAAATACAAGGTATCAGGTAGTTTAAAAAGAAATGATAAGCCTTGAAAAATGGACTGGAGCCAGATCATGAAGGACTCTTGTTATCCCATGTCAAGAAATGTGGGTTTCATCCTATACCGTAATATTGTTCCCAAAGTGCCAGTAAGAAGACTGCTCATGATTCAAACCAGGTGGGAGAAGAAATAAAAAGGGAAAAGCTATATGACAGCTGACCTCTCTAATTACTGACTCAAATAAAGGAGCTCTACTTTTGTCTATTTTATGCAGTCAAGTTCTATTCTAACATTTTTTGGACGAAAAAATCTACTGTTATAAACAAACTTTTTTAAAAGCTTAAACAGGAACCATTAAAAGATTTTTAGCAAAAAATTAAATGATAAGATTAGCATTTTGGAAAGATCTTTCTGGTAACAGTGCCAAGAATGAAAAGCAGAAGTATGAGACCAGAAGGAAACAAGAATAATTAGTTGCAACAACGGATGCAAGAAATTATGAGTTAAATCTGGGTTGTGACAACAGAGATATTCAAACATTATTGATATCAACTTTGTGCTAGGTTCAGGAGAAAGAACATAAATTCAAGAGTTATTTAAATAAAAAGGAATCAATCGATTAAAATGAGAAGGTAAAGAAATTACCAAGGCCCTGGCTGGTTTGGCTCAGCGGTCCTGAGAGATCCGGGTTTGGTTCCTGCTAAGGGCACGTACCTTGGTGGCAGTTTGTCCCCAGCCCTGGTTGGGGTCGTGTGGGTGGCAGCCACTCGATGTGTCCCTTTCACATCGATGTTTCCCCACCACCACCCCCTACTCTATCTGAACAAAAAAAATGGAAAAGTGTCCTCGGGTGAGGATTGGAAAAAAAAAAAAAAAAGAAATTACCAAGGAATTAAGTTTGGTAGGTGACTTGAATAAACTTATGAATAGCTGTGGTTTAAACTTAGAAAAAAATCATACCTCATCTTCAACAGGCTAAGTACAAACTAAGCCAAAAAAGATATGTAAGGAAGTGCAATCTAGAAAAGCAAAGAATTACAGTTACGACTATAGTTTCAGGAGCAAAGTCCCAGAGGATTTGCTAGAGATATATACAAAATTAGAACCATCTTTGAATGCCATTATAAACAGCAAGTCCTTAATTATCAATATCCTAGAGAGAATTTCAAAGGTTTCACTAACGGTCTACCTAAAGTTAAAGCGTAGAGATCCAGATATTCAAATGATAGCATGGAATCAAGGCAGACAAGAATACTGAAAAATAATATGTCATCATACCTATAAAATTGCTTGCTAACATATGGCCTACAAGTTTATCAATTGTCCCATTACTCGTAGAATCAGTATGTAATGAGTCGCACAATTCCATTCATGGTGATTCTTTAATTACCAACTTCTTTTTTTTCTTTATTGATTTTAGAGATAGAAGAAGGGAGAGAGAGAGAGAGAAACATCGATGAGGGAGAACATTGATTGGCTGCCTCCTGCATGCCCCCCACTAGGGATTTGGCCCACAACCTGGGCATGTGCCCTAACCCGGAATTGAACTGGCTATCCCTTGGTGCATGGGTTGATGCTCAACCACTGAGCCACACCAGCCGGGCTAATTACCAGTTTCTTACTAGAGTTTTAGAATAGGTTCAAAATATTTATGTGAATATATTTTCCAAGCATTAGAAGTGTTCAATGATATTGAGCTTCTAGGTTTTTCATTGAGTCCTAAATTAAAAGAAATTCAATGCCATTTCCAAATGAATCTGGTTTTATAATATAATTGTTTTCCCTGATAATGGATTTTAAAAAGAGACAGGGGAGAAGAGAAAGTAAGACTGGGATGGGGAGCTCTTACATTGTTCAAAAATAAATCCTGTTTTCACTGCTGTTCATGAGAGTTATTTCAATTTCCTTAATAAAGATTGTAATCAACCTTAATAAAGATTATAATCAACATTAAGTACACAAAATTAATTCTTAAGTCCTTCAGTGAGGGAACTGATCAAAACTCTTCATCAAAAGAGCCTTCATACCTCATTAATTACATTACACTATGAAGCCTTACCCATTAAAAAATAGATCAAATGCTAATTACTATTTCCAAGTATCTGACTCTACATTATAAAACTCTTCTCTTGGCAACATCAGAAAGAGCTATTTATAAGTGCGTTGCCAAACCTTACATATTAGAAAAGACACTCTAAGAGAGAATTGCACAGGCCTGTAGCTACATAGTTTACAAAAACCAAACACAATTGGCATCTGACTAAAACAATAAGAATTAGAAATTATTCTCTATCTTTAAGAGGGGCATAATAAGTGCTCGCATTTATAAAAAGAAAACAAAATCACGGGGAAAATAATTATTACCTGAGGGCAGGGAATTTCAGACAAAAGGCCCCTAATTCCTGGTGAAAGCAAGTAGTCAGTTGCCAGGGTTTCTTAGACTCCTCTGGTACTCATTTGGGTGATTATGAAATTCACAACACACCAATCTCCACCACAGCCAGCAGGTATTGCTGCAAGGAATAGGTACACAGGGGACACAGAAGGGAGCAAGTTTAAGGGAAGGAAGAGGAAAGGAATGATATGATAAAAATATTTAGCTGTGATTCACTTTTAAAAAATATAGTTGTATTTCACACTGAACTAACTAAAGGTAAACACTGCTAAATTCAAAGATAAATGAACCATTTATGATTTGCTCATTCTCCTTACCACTGGAATTACTACTACTCTATTAAATTAATACGTATTTTTTTAAATTTTATGTTAAAATGCTAACAAAAATGAGATATCTATATTGTACAGAAGTTATACAAAGACTGAACTGTATAATTCAACATTAAATAAAACCAATTAGGACAAGCACTCTAAAAGACACAATCTACAGATACAAATTGTCAAGTTAACTGTCAAAAGGCCCATTTAAAACTATAATCCTCGCCCTGGCCAGTTTGGCTCAGCGGTTAGAGCATCAGCCTGTGGTCCAGAGAGACCTGGGTTCAGTTTCCGCTAAGGGCATGAACCTCGGTTGCAGTTTGTCCCCCGCCCTGGCTGGTCGTGTGGGTGGCGGCCACTCGATGTGTCCCTTTCATATTGATCTCTGTCTCTCTCTCTCTCTCTCTCTCTCTCTCTCTCTCTCCCCCTCCCTCCCACTCTACCTGAACAAACAAACAAAAATGGAAAACGTCCTCGGATGAGGATAAAAACAACAACAACAAAAAAAAAACTATAATCCTCACTTCATTTCATAGAGAATACTAGAGTAAAGTTACCTATGAAAAGTAACCCCCAAACCAAAGAAAGATCCAGCAATAAACTACATTTATATACTCAAAAGTACATTGGAGTATAGTATTTCTCTGGAAAACAGTTTTGAATCTAAATTTTCTGGATATGAATCAACTTTTTAAACCAGCCAAAAATGGATTCAGGACAACCAATTGATTCCCTATGTATTCTATGAAGACCAATGTATTATAAATTTATTTCTCCAGTCAACTAAATATGTTTCTGAACAACCACTGCATACCACAGTACTGTGGTAGATGTTAAAGATACAATGGCGAACAAGACAAGCATAGCCACTGTTCTCAGGATTCAGAGCCTATCAGAATGATTATGCCCTTGAAGAGATAACAATCTGCAGAATTAATAAATATGAAGCTTTTCTTTTAATAAAACGAACAATATATTTTAAAGCAAAAAAAAAAAAATCAAAATGAAGATGCCTGTGAAGACTAGCCTAGTTCAAGTTGCCTATGGAAGTTGTACAAGTAAAATGAAGGTAGAGAGGATGCCCTATCCTGAAGGGACAGGGACAATTTGGCTGCAGGAAATAGTACAAAAGGAGGGTAAAAAAGCAGGGTGGGGGAAGGAGTATAGTATTGGAAAACACTGAAAAATAAAATTGCAGCCAAATTTGGACGACCTAAGTCACCCTTAATGTCTCTAAATAGTTGCCTTAAATACTCCTTTGGTATGCACATTACAGTCAAAGAAAACAGATTTAATAACTATCCATTTTACATCACTAAGCTGTCACTTATGTGCTTTTATTTCATTACTGCTTTACAATTTTCTCTGAGACTTAGACCACCTCCATGTCATTGTCTCTACTTCCTTTAAAATTGCAGATAGTGCCTGGCTGGTATGGCTCAGTTGTTGAGCGTTGACCCATGCACCAAGAGGTCGCCAGTTCGATTCCCGGTCAGGGCACATGCCCAGGTTGTGGGCCAAATCCCCAGTGGGGGGCACGGAGGAGGCAGCCAATCAATGTTCTCTCTCATGGATGTTTCTCTCTCTCTCCTTCTCTCCCTTCCTCTCTAAAATCAATAAAGAAAAAAAAAGTTGCAGCTAGTACTCTGTGCCTCTCTCAAAAAACTTATATTCTATCTTAAATTCTATTTAGTCACTCATCTACCCTATTGTTGCCAGAAGACATTCCTAGCTTTTAATTTTATTTATATATTTTATAGAACCTTCCTTAAGTACTGGTCGAAAATATAAATGAATGACTTATTAGGATATTTACAATATTTCTTAAAGATAAGATAAACCTTACATATTATAGATGCCCCTTCTTACTTAATTTATATAGAGAGCATCACAGCAAAAAAAAATTTTGGAGCAGAAACTCAATTTATTATCTAAAAATATACTTTTAATATCTGAATTTTCTGATATTTCTACATTCATTCTTAAATATTAATTCCTAACAATAAAATTACAAAACGTTTACAAATAGACAATAGTAGATAAAAACAACAATTGATGCTGTGCTAGCAGTGACAAAAGAAGACAGATATCCCTCTCTTAATGGTATTTTTGGGTAAAAAAAAAAAAGAACGTATATAAATAAAGTTAAATCTTAAAGGATAGACTAATATGGAATTCAAAATTTCTACACTACATTCATTTTGTCTGGAGAAGTCTCAAAATAATAAGCCAGTAAATTATCAGATAGATGAGCAGTAAGTCTAATGTCTGAAAAATCAAACTAACAAAAAATTACTATATCCTGAATCATATTTGCTTCAGCTCTCAATTTTGTTTTAATAACTTGGTCTTGATATGATAACTGTTAATATTTCACTCATGGAAATAGTCATTAAGTCTTCTACTTGTAACATATTCAATCTGAGCTCCAGTTACTATTATCAACTGATTAAATACCCAAATATTAAATAGAAATATTAAATTACTCATCCTAAATAATATAATACGCAGAATTTAAAACATGTATATCTGATAAGAGAGATAAGAGATCAACTTATTTAAAAATGTTTACAATGGAAGCTGCAGTATTAAGGCAAAGTGCAATACTGCAATGAGTAATACTGCAAAAAAAAAATTGTGCAGGTAAAAAGAAATGGGTGGAGAAATTTTGCTTCCACAATTTCAAAGAACTGCTGAGTCAAAGGATCTCCAAGTTATAAAAGAATCTTCTAAGGGATAGTGCAGCACTATGGTGAAACACCATAAGAGTACTAAGGGAAATGTTGAAAACTAAATAAAAGAAAATCAAGCCATTAGGTGCAAACAGCAGCCTGAGCCGGTAGCATAGAAAAATCAAATTAAAAGGGTGGTGGATCAGTGATTTAACCACTCGACACCACCTGTCAAACTTTAACCTTAGGCAAGTGACACACATCAACATTTTAATAATTACTTTCTCACAGACATGGGCAAATCTCTTCTGATTCTATAATGGTGATAGTACATCCAGTGGACCAAGTAACCACCTCTTTTCACCTGAAGTCTTCAAACCAATCTCCTGAAAGTAACTTTTGCAAAAATCAATATCTGGTTTTATATGAAAATCAATGTGAAAGAAACAGGCACCTGCTTGCTTTCAGATACTTCTATATAGTGCACTTAATAGCACCTCCCCAAATCCACCCCTTAAAATTCTGTATTGCATAAACCAAAGGATAACCACACAAAAAACACTGACATTGTTGCCAGACTAAAACTGTAGTGCGAATTAGTTCACAAATAAAAGGGATGTTCACAGATATCTGAAAAGTATTCAGATCAATGTATCCAAAACCACACTCCTGATCTTCCATAGGTCTGCTCCTCCTGCAGTCTTCCACTTAGTGAACAACAACTCCACCCTGTCAGCTGCTTATGTCAAAAACTCTGGAGTTATCGACGACGACTGCTCTTTCTTTCTCAATCACATTTTCTATCAGCAAAGTCCTGTGATTCCATCCTCAAAATACATTTAAAACCTGACAATTATCTCAACAACTCCACACTTCCACCTAGGTCCAAGCCAGTATATTTCTCATCTGGATAGTTAACACTTTTAATTGAGCTCCTGTTTCTGCCCTAGCTCTCCTATTATTTCCCACATGGCTGCAGAGCGATCCTTAGCTCCAAACCTTCTAGTGGATTCCAATCTCACTCCGGTAAAAAGCAAGTCATTACAAGGCCCCACAAAATCTGGTCTTTGACCTCATCTTCCTCTACTCACTTCACTCCTCACTCCATGTCACCTGTATTGGGGGCCTAGATATATATAAAAAACAACAAGCAAGCTTCTACTTCTGGATCTTTGTATTTGCTTCTACCACCTCTTTGAGATCTCTTCTCAGATATCACCTTCTCAATTAAGGCTTCTGGAATCAACAGATTTAAAAGGGAAAAACCCCACCCTCATCTCCATGCACTTCCTATCCCCCTTCCATTTTTTTTTTTCCAGTAGCACTTACCACAAACTGATACAGTGAACTTTATTTATTTTATTTACTATCAGCATCCAAATGTAAACATTTAGAGATCCTACTCATGCTTATTATGCCAAAATGGGAATTACTGAAGTTTCCCAAGAGGTGAGACCACATCTTACCCATCTTTGTATCTCTAATACCAAGTGTTCAGGATCTAGTATACACAAACTTTCAAAAATTACTTACAGGGCTTTATCATAAAAGTGGAAGATGTAAATAATTAGCCTATCAATAACTATATAAAATTATCATTTAAGAAAATAAATTGACAGTCTAAATACTCTATGTTGTATTTCCTTTTAAGAATATCCAGTAATTCAGCAATTCACTTGCACAGCCTTATCTGACGCCATGTACTAAACTAGGCCTACTGCACCTCTAAAATTTTAAACTTGAATACAGCACTTTCAGACAAAACCTCCAAACCTTCCAATTCTCTCATTTGTTTTTCTCAACTTCTCTTCCACCTAGATAAAATTCCCAACCCCTGGATGGTCTTTCCTTTTCTCTTGGGCTATCAGCTGCTGCCCTCCTCCTTCCTTCCTTACACGATCTAAGCCATCCTAGCAATACACTGGTGAGGCAATCTAAACTCTGTCATTACTTTGCCATTCAGTCACAAGATTCTGCCAAGTGCTCAACCCTTCCTAATCTCCTTAACAACTATTCCAAATATTCAGCGATCTTCTCAGGCCACCTTCCCTTTCTATTTGTTCCTACCCCTTAGTTTAGGGAACATGTCTTGCTGAGATGTCAGGTAGTTGCTCCTACTTAGCTCC